CGAGCAGCGGCGCCGCCCCCATTCCCGCCCCCATTCCCGCCCCCGCTTCTCCGGGAATGCTGCGGCGCCGGCCCCTCAGGGAGCGGCCCGCAGCCTCGGTCACAGCGGGCCGGGCCCCGCGCTGCCGCCGCCCCGCCACGGCGCCGGAGGCCGTTGGGGTCCTGGCCGGCTGCGAGCAGCAGTTCAGCGGGAGGCAACGCGCTGCACGCGGGCGCTCCTGGCTGGAGAGGGGATGGATCGTGAAAATAAACACTGGGAGCGCTCGCAGGGGTGAGCAGAACAACTCCTGATGCCACTTGAGAGGTCACAGGATACACAGGTCTAAGGGCTTGGAAGGCTGGATTTGGCGGATCCAGCTGCACAGCTCCTGGCGCTGGATAAGTCCCGCGCCTGCCCTTGCGTAGGGTGGGAGGACCAGGCCMCGGGGCAGGGCACGGGAGCAGCTCCCTCTGCGTCCCATAAAACCTCACGAGCCCCCGGGGAAGGCCCAGCCCGCAGAGCAAGTTGGGGATGTGCAGCACGGGATCGGGAGGAGCCTGCGGGAGCACCTGGGAGCGGGCAGGGGAGCCAGGGCTCCCTGGGAGCAGGGAAAAGGGGCTGCACATGGAAAGGAGCAGGCAGCTCGGGGGAGCTGGCCCAGCACAGCACGCTGAGGAGAGGAGCTGTGCTGGAGCCGCGGCGCTTGCACTGGGCTCCTCAGGAGAGCCTCTGCTCCCGGTTATCCTGAGGACCTCACTCCGACAAGAGAGGGAAACAGCAGCCACATATGGGGCACATGTTCACATACAGCAAATATCATGGGCGGGAAGAGCTCCTGAAGCACCTCCAGCAAGGATGGGAAAACAAGGAGAGTGCAGCTTGGTAGACTGGTAGCCTCATTTAGTAGTTATTCTGCACCTGATATGCTGCAAGYTGAAAGCTGCCCCTAACTTGCGTGCCAAGAATTACCTCTGCTAAGCAGCTCCTGTGGTGGATGCATTTCAGAGCGCGCACAGTTGGTCCCGTCCCTCAAAGTCATGAAACGAGGGAGACTCCGCTTTGTGCGGAAGCAAGCTGGAGAACAGCRGTGGCACGCCGCATCCGAGCTGGAGTTTAAACTTCTCTAATGGCATGTGCTAGCAAGCATTAGCTGAACAGGGTCATGTCAGGAACATCGCGGAGATAAAGGCACACGGGCCTGATTTGGTAGGAATGCAGCATGAGCCAGCGCTGACGCAGCCTTCCCCTCTTGAGACTTGTGTCCCACTAAGGCCCCTGCCTGCTCAGCTGCATCTGCACGGCCCAGTGACTCAGAGGTGGAGCCCGCGCTCTGCACAGCCTTCCCAGAAAATGTGTCGCATCAGAAATGCCCAGAGCRTTGGTAAAATGGAAGGACTCGCTCTAGTAAGTATCTCCATGGAACAGCGTCTCTCCAGAAAAAGGGCAGCCCTCCCTTCACAGAACACAGGGGTGCTTAAAAAAAGCTGTATATATATTAAGCTCAGATGAAGCTGAGCCTAAACCACCTAGTGCCCTTCATACTGACCTGTATAAATGTTTTCTTCATGCACGAGAACTGATGTCCTTTGGAAGGCCTCCCTGCAGTCCCTACAAGCATTAGGCAACGCCGCCTGTGCGGCCAGCGCTGACCAGCCCCTGCTGGCGCTGTCACAGGGGAAGCGGCGTCAGCGTGGGGACAAGCGCCAGGAAAAAGCAGTCAGAATTCCCCCCTGTGAAACTGCTCACCCGATGCCTTTGCTTCACAGCCCGGCCACGTAAGAAACGACTTCTTCTCTTCAAATCTCGGTGTATTTTAAAAGCTTTGCGCTAGCAGACATTGAGCCTTGAATCGCTATTAATCCCTGTTTGTCCCTCCCAGAATGGAATAATAAAAAGCCCGCAAAACACAAGTTAATACAAATACCGGCAATGTTTCTTCTTTCCAAGAAAGAAGTAGCCCCTGCCCCAGGTTTTTAGCCTGTATCACATGTTAAAGCCATCCCAGTTTTGCAGTACAGCACCAAAGTTTAAATTCCCTGGGGCAGCACAGCATCATATGCCTAACAAACAGACCTGGGCTCACAAGTGTGGCCCTTTGAACATCTGATAYGACCCACAGGCTCCTGGGCCACCTCAGATCCTGTCACTTCACTGGAATACTTCAAGAAGACCCAATTCATCATTAGGGGGACATTATCTTGCAGGCAGGCAGGCAGAACTTCTAGACTACCAACATCATGGGCAGCTTATGATAAGTGCAGGAACGCCAGAAGAAATATCTCTGAAAGCTGCTGGATAAATTCATTGCAGCAAGAAGACTAATGCTGGAGCTCTTCATTTCTGTAATCCAACCAACTCCATTATGTGAGGCAAAAGTCTAAGGTTCCACTTTATGAGCTAGTTACACCCAGTGAATCTAAATCCCTCTAACAGCCTTGTGTTTGCAGCTCAGTAAACAGATAAATCTGCAAGCTCTCTAGCACCAGTGAGTACAGAAGTCTGGTTCTTTCCAAATCCTTATCAAGGGAGTAATCAATTTCTACTGCTGTTTCAGCCAGAACAACACCTCCTTTGCTGCAGAGCATCAGAATTCACATCAAACAGATCACAAGTCACCCTTTGCATTCACTGCCACACCACAGATTAGCATCACTTTCTGAGTCACTGAAATAAACTGTTTTTCTCTGCAACAGGTAGAAGATGCTTTAGATGCATGCAGAGTGAGAAGAGAGCAAGGACCTACAGAGCTCAGCTCAGGCAGATCTCTCCAACAGAGTGAGCTGGAACAGAGCTAGAGAAACTCTGCAAGCGCGGAGTCCACAGAGCACATTAAGAAGAAGAAAACAAAGCACAGCCCAAACCCCAAAGCAGATTATATCAAGCTAGCAGGAACCACCAGACCAACAAAGTCACAGGGGATGACAAAAGAAACTTAGACCGTAACATCAGTGAGAAGAAAAATAACACCAGGTACTTAACCAGCAGAAGGGAAAATAGTCATTAATAACCAAGAGGAGCAAGGAAATAGATTTTTTCTTCCTTTAACTCTACCCATCTCAGCCACTCAGAAAAATTTCCTGCAGCACCTGAGTGACTCACCAGAGGGGTGGATTACTAATTACAGTAAATTAGTTAYAATTGAGGGCAGCTGTCTTGTTTCTCATTCTCTCGCTTTGCGGTAGCTATACAGCGATACCCAGAAACGCCTCACAGATTCTTTGTCACGTTTCTGTTGCTCAGCTTGGCTAAAACCACAAGCACTCRGACAGCAACTGTGCCCTTATCTTGGGGGCTATATCAAGCCGCCCAAACTTGTTTCCAGTAAATGCAGTCGCAGTACAGAGAACTGCGGTGCTGGTGGTGAGTCTGATACCCTCTGCAGGAGAGCAAGGGAATGTCTGTGTGACTTGGAAAGCGGGCAGGATTCTTCCCCCTCTTCTCCCAAGACTACTTGATTCACTTCTCCCGAAGTATTGCTTTGGGAACACCACATAGACAACAACTTGAGAACCCCTAGCCATACTTTTAAAACATCAAGTGTTCCAATATGCTGGTTTAAGGAGTCATCGAGTGTTGCAGATACCCAGATTAACAGCAGCTCCCCTGGGAGGAGGTTGCATCTGCCTGTGATACTTTAGTYGTTCTATTATAACACTGTTAGAATGAACCCACAGCCAAGGGGAGGTGAACTGCCAAGGCCAGCCTATATTTACCCTCTTTGAGGTGGCATAAATAAAGCCAACACACATGGCTGTATTTCTTTTACTGGCTCTTTCTCAGCCTGGCAGCCACGTTGACCACCGAACAGTGGGAATGATCCTTTCAGGATTTATATACATGAGATGAAACTATATGTTTACTATTGCAGTCATTGAGCCATGTGCTTAATATCTATGTGCCTGCCAAAAGAAATACTGCTACTTACAGGAGCCTAGAGGTCTCTGCATCAAAGTGCCACTGTGTTTAATGGCAGCAATTTTGTCAAGTAGCTCTCATCTGCGGTTTAAGCACCTACTTTGCCTTTGCTGGGCTGTGGGAGGTCAGGCGCTTCTAGATAGGGTTTTGCTTARACTGACGTGTGGGAAGGCTAAGAGTCAGAGATTCCCCAGGTCTGCTGACTTTCAGTGACTCCCTCGTGCTGGGATGACTGGTTCTCCTCGTCATGCTCCTGTGTGACAGAGCCACGAACCTGAATACAAGGTGGGGGGACAGGACTGCAGCCTGGAATTGCTCCAGCAGAAGCACATGAGGAAGAAAGAGATAAAGACTCTTTTAAATGTGGGCACTTTGAGCAACAGGCCAGACCACTGTCACATGCCAAACCAGGCACGAGGSAGAGAAACTGAACAGAGCTGCTCAGCGTAGGGCTGGCGGCCAAGCTCAGGACTCAGCCAGGTAAGAGAAAATGCATCTGCAGTAAATCTCTAGTTGCAGGTTTTCCAAGAGGAAATATATCTCTAACAAAACACACAACCTTTTATTAAGCTCAAGTTCCTTCGCTGATTTCCCTTTTGACCCCCAAAACTTAATGAAAAGCTCTCAAGCACCTACAGAATTTATAACATGAAGGAGTGGATAAGGGCAGCTAGGGGCTTGAGAGATTTGAGGCAGAGATGCTAGAGAAGAGTCCGTACTGCATTGAGAGAGGTGAAGCCGCATGGATGGTGCCTGAGAAGCCTGGGGGCCTGGGACACCCATTGCTGGGGTGAGCGCTCCAGAGCTGCCCAAGCCTGGTGCCCGCTGTTCTCACCCAAGGGCAGCGATGGCCAAGGCAGGACGGCAGAGGTGTGTGGAAAGCAAGGCGAGCGGATGGCTCTGCTTGCACCATCACAGTCGTAAATACCCATCCAAAGAAAAACTGACCTCTGTGGGGATCTCTAGGCTTACACCCTGCCTGATAAAAGAAAACAAAACAGAAAGGTCAATATCAGGAAAAATCCTGAAAAATCCTTCAGACCAGGCGCTGTGTTTATTCTTCTGTTTGTGTAATTCCCCCTAGAAGAGGCTCTCGATCCTTATCAGGGTCACTGGGTACTGCTCAGTATAAATAATCCCATCAGCTAATGCCAGTGCAAACACACTCTGTCGAAAGACTCGCTGTTATTTACCAAGCTGTTTTCCTTTCACGCACTTTGCTGGTTTTGAAGGCAAATGCTTTCAAGGACAAGCGCAAGCGTGGCGGCCCACGCGGCTCCCCGACCCAGGSCGTCCCGGCTCCGGGTGCACCGCGGTGCTGCAGCCAGTGCCCACCCGGTGCCACAGCAGGCTGAGGGCAGGAGCACAGYACACAGCTCACCCGGTGCCACAAGGATGGGCCAGGGGCAGGAGGACAGCACAGGGGCACCGAGGCTGAAGGGGGAAACGCGTCTGAGCTGAGGGAATGGCCTGCGTCACAGTATCCCTRAGGTTGGAAGGGACCTCCAGAGGCCATCTAGTGCAACCCCCTGCACACGCAGGGACACCCAGAGCACGGGGCACAGGGCTGCATCCAAGCGGTTGTGAAGATCTCTGGAGAAGGAGACTCCGCAGCCTCCCTGGACAGCCTGTTCCAGGGCTCTGCCGTGATTCCAGGGAGAGCAGGACCTCCTGGGCACTGGTGTTCAGTGCACCCAGGGGTTGTGCAGTTCTCTTCCGTGGAGATATTCACAACCTGCCTGGAGGTGACCCCATGCCAAGTGCTCTCTGGGCAGGGGGGTTGGACCAGGTGACCTCCAGAGGCCCCTTCCCACCTGAACCATTCCGTGACTCCCGCTGTATTCCCACCGCTGTCACGGCACCGGCCCCGAGTACCGGTACAAGCCGGGGACGCCCCCGACGCTCCCAGCTCAGGGCAGCCGGGCGCTCGGGGCGGCCGCCCGGCCTCGCCGCGAGCTCCGCGCACCGGAGCGCACACAGCCGCCTACGTGACCGCCACGGGCAGCCCTTCCGCCGCGCCGCTCCATGGCGGCTCCGTCCGGAAGGGGCGGCGCGGGGCGGCGGGCGCCAATG